AAACAAATTTTTATTGGGATTTGGGAGAAAAAAAAGATGTATGATTCGGAAGGAAAAGGGTATTTAGTACGTACTAAACGGGATCTCTAAACAAATTACTGAAGAATTCATGACTTCGATTGTACTCCATATTTTGTTTTCATTTAATGCATATATTTTAAGTCAAGCAAACCTATAAGTAATTTCAAAAGTCTACCATTAGCCATTGCCGAGCTTACCCCTGATAAAATTTCGTTGGATAATGCGGACATCCAGAGAGACAACAAATTTTTAAAAAATGGTTTTGGTGTATGTAATGTATAAAACGGAAAGATATCATGAAAAGGATTGATCCTATTCATTGTACAGACAAAACCTTTATTTTATTTATATGCATGTTCTTTAACCTATAAACATGTGTTTATTATTAACATTTATTATCAAAAGTAACCGAGATCTCTAGACAAATTACTCAAGAATTCATAACTCTGGTTATACTCAATCTTTTCTTTTCATTTAAAGCCTATGTTTTAAGTCTAGCAAACCTTGATATAATGTTGAAATTTCAAAAGTCTACAATAAGTCATTGCTGAGCTTACCCCTGACAAAATTCCATTGCAATGCGGACATACAGATAGACAAACAATTTTTTAAAAGTGGATTTGGTGTCTGCGATGTATGGAAAGATATCATAAAACATATTGATTCTATTCAATGTGCAGACAAAACCTTTATATTATTTATATAGATTATAAAAAAATTAACATTCTGTTCACAATAATGGGACAATAAAATTAATTTATATGAATGAGAACGTTAAAAACGTTTTGATGGATTATTTCTTTAAGAATACATAAAAACTGGAAGTTTGTTTTGAAATTTGATCCTTGATGTATGAAACGTAAAACGCGAGTGGAAAATTTCGATTCTGAGCACATTTTTTCTTAAATTCTCGCAAGAATACAAAGCTCCTCAATCTTGAGTAGCGAGGAAGAAAAAAAATTGTCAAGTACCTTCCTAATCATCTCTATTGGGTACGTAATTACGAGCTATTCTTGGGACCCAAATTGTTCCCATAGTTTTCTATCTTCATTAGTGAAGAAGCAATGAATTATGGTACTTTTCTCTAGAATTACATCTATTAGCCATTATTGATGAGTCTTTTATTTACAAAGTGAACCCCAATCGATTTTTATAGAAATCAGTATATGTATCAATTTCCACCTAAAAATACCCAATGAATCCATTGGCGCAGTTTACGGAATAAAAATGTATAACACAAAACTCACTGAAGTAAAGTATTGGTCTTGTTAACTCCGAACAAAATAAATCTTAAATCTTTCCAATGATTTTTTTTGTTCATCCATTTTACGACTGAAAACATATCTATTAAGTATATATCTCTACTGTTAGTGCCGAATCATAGTATGTAAAGATTTTTAATTTTTAATCTATTTGTGCCAAAGATGACATTTCGTAATCTGCTGCTATGGGAAATAGCAGAGTGCAATAAAATATGAAATTATATTAATAAATCATAAAGACATTTTTTACAAAGAATAATAATAAGTTTTTATGTTCTCCTGTAAAATATTCAATTTTTACATACGACCTTTTGAACTAACGGTAGTGATATACATGTTCAGTACGTAATGGGATTATTATTTTTTTTATCACGGATCATCAAATACGCAATCTGCAAATGTGGAACTCTTCCACGCTTTAATATTCGCTGATGAACAAAACTCATAGATATCCAACCCGCGAATGTTGAAGGATTACTATATTTCCGAAAACAGCTTTACCGGGAGATTTTATTCTCATACGAAAAATTGTAGATTTTGAAATATAGATATTTTTTAGATAATGAAAACGGTGAGGAAGCTATACTGACCTGACTTGGCAGACAATTTTTCGTATTTCTGATATAATCGAAATGTAATAATAAACGGATAGGGCTTGGATTTCCTTTGATACAGGCATGAAAGATTTTAACTTAAAACTCTGGCTCTTAACTAATTTAAGCCATTAATAAAAATTGTATCTTAACGTGACGCTGTGTTTGAGAGGAAAAAAGGAAACGAATTTTATTTAAGATATGGACTAAAATATCCTAAATTAAAGGTAGGACCAGAATACTGTAAACAAAGAAAATATTTAGCATTACATTCTCTTTATAATGAGCTATTATTCAAAATTGTATCCTAACACTACGATACGCAGTGGGACGGGTGAGGGAAAACTCGCGACATCGGCTAAATGATTTTTTTATTTTCTTTTATTGAACTATTGAATAGTGATATAACAGTGAAAAATGTATATTGTGCCAACTGAAAATATTCTCGAAAACTCCGCCAACAACACAAGGAATCAATAAAACAGTTTATCTAGTTTTTGGTGTTCCAAAAAAAAATAATAGATTTAGACAGATTCAAACAGATGTCGCGAGTTTCCCCTTACTTGTCTCACTGTGCGTCGTGTTAGAGGGAAAAGAGATCGTCACTGGTGTGCTTAAGAGTATTAAAAAGCCAAAACTCTTCGCGCTGCTCACGAACTAGTAACCAACATAAGTTTATTATAGAGTTTACTAGAATAAGGGTCAATTTAAAATTGGTGTAATAGTTGTAAAGATCAATAGAAATATTAAGTTAATTATTTTTAAAATTATAAGTGTAAAGTATAGTGAGATCTCAAAAACTTTTTTTCGATTATTAAGGTTGGAAACGTTTGAGCTGAATTTAAGATACCTTAAGGAGGACGAGAAACACTTAATCAAATTATTTATGCCATCTTTCAAATGAAAATATCAGATTTTGAAGTTGATTCAAATTTTCTGTTGATACAGCGAAGTATACTTACTGAAAGTTATTTCCATAATTATATTATTATAGTTTATTGAGGCTTTAAACATTCGACACACATATTAATAAGACGTGAACGAATTCTGGTATAGCAATTCCTATCCATAACCATTAGAATTATCTAGAATCATAAAAAGCGTTTTTATTTATTTAAGACTAATTCGAAACCTTTACAAAATTTATTAAGAACAAAGTTAGCGTTTAACCTCATACCTAAATTTTCCAAAGCACGAGGGCACAAGTGTTTTCGTTAACATATGTAAGTTTTCCTATTGCATTTGTTCATTTTCAATTAATGACGATACATGTTATTAAGGGAAAAGATCTGTTGTTTACGAACAGATAATAGGTAAGAGATTTTTATTGCAGTACTTTATTGTACACTGTGAAATTCGTAGGATAAATAGTGGTTTGAGCATCATCATGCTAGCCGTACTGTTTTATTAAGGATATCACAAAATATGCAGCATGTTACTTTAACTGTTAAGCAGACCCTACACGGTAATTCATGAACGAACGTCACAAGAAGTTCCAAGATGGCCCGCTATCGCTTTGATCATGAAGACCCTTACACGTTCAATCATTACTTATGTGAAGTTTCCACTTTTTTTTCTCTCCAATTTATTGCCTACTTGACTATTTAAAGAAAAAATAGTTGAAAATGGTTAATAATATAGACTAGGGATATAAACAAGTATTTACTTCTATGAAATTATTTACTTAATAACAAGACCTAGGTAAACTAACCTATCTAGTAGTAAGGTTAGTCTCATATAGTTTTGACAAAAGTTAGTAAAATAGAAGTCTACTACTTACAAAAATTAAGAAAAGGTATTGCGAAAATAATAAATTTGTTGAGGAAAATGGGAAAAGAACTGATAAATAGACACAACGTTAAAGTTTTTTATTTTCCTAAAGTAAATTGTGAAGTTTCCTATTTTTTTTTTTAATTTGTTGCCCACTTGACTATTTAAAAGAAATAGTTGAAGATGGTTTTAAATTATAAACAAGGGATATGAAAAATTATTTAACTATTTATATATAATGAAAATCAGAAATGTATAATGGTTGTGAGGCCTAGGTAACCTAACCTATCCAGCAGTATGTTTAGTCTCCGCACTACTTTTACCTCAGTCCCCCCTCCACTACTCGTGAATGAACCTTTGATTTCCGGATGTTCGGAAATCCGCAACGCACCACCATCAGTACCTCATTCACTACCTTACACGACAATTCGGAACATCATTAGTGCAATTCCGATTGACCGTGTAGGGTTCCCTTTACTGTTTTTCGTAGTCCTTCAAAATCTGACTCTAGACTTATCTAAGCGCAAGTGATTGATATATAACTAATTGGATAAGAGTAGAAATACAACCAGCTTTTTCCGAACTTGATTGTCAGGTTATAAATACTAATATAAAACTAAGAAAAATACTAACCTTTTATTTTCATTGATCCTTTTAAAGAACAAATTGAAGTTCCATCAAAGCGAATTTATATATATATATATATATATATATATATATATATATATATATATATATATTTCATCATTAGTAATATTTTAATCACTTTTCTTTCTCCTTAAGTATGAGAAGCTTAGTACTCATGCAGCAAATGAAAAACAAAATAGTTCTCAAAAACGAAATTTTCCACTAGTGTAGAGAAAAAATTAATTTCAAGTGTCAGTAGTAAAACTTTTATGATTGAAACATCTGATTTTTTTTTTTTTTTTCAGATTTTCAGTAAATGTGCAGTTTAATATCCTGATGTTCCATCAATTTTATCAAATTCCCCCCAGTACTTTTGTTGACGCATGCAGTAATGTATTTTCTCATACCTTACAGAAAATACTTACACAAAAACTGCTCCTCTCATTTTTCTCAAAGATGAAAGCTGGATAAAAATGGTCCCATTTTACAAAATTTCAACCATTAGCTAAATTTATAATGATTGAAATTTGAAATATTATTTCTTACTTATTTGTTTCCGCATGTTCCAATAGAAATGGAGCAGAGCTAAATGAAAGAAATTTTACAACTCTTATATCCTTCTTTTTATTCTTTATACTTTATTTTTTTATATTTAACACAAAAAAATATTTGTCATTTCTTAATCATCACAAATATGTGATATATATCATTCTTAAAAATGATCCTACCATGACAGGAGAAAACATTAGTTATATCTTTGAATAGGACAGGGGTTATAATAAATACAATAATAAATATTTTGTAAACACTTTTAATATATGTTTTTTTGATAAATACAATATAGTTTGCACTCATGATCTTACATAACCTAAATAGGTAAATGTGCTACTAAACCGTTATAAATATTGTAATAATAAAAAACTTTATCAGATAATTAATAAATAATATGTAATAAATACAAATAAAAAAGACAGCTTATACAACATAAAATAATTATATAATAAAAGAGATAACTTGAATACACTCACTTCTCAATATTCTAATTTACACTTTTGTTTTTTTTTTAATTTTTAAAATTTTTTCATAGATATCAATTTTGAAAGGTTTTTCATAAAAGTGAAATAAGAAATAAATGCCAATTAAAATTTTTCCCACTAAAAAAAGAATCAAGTTCGATTTAAACTTTAATCTTCCAATTAAAACAAATAAAATTTTTCATGATATTCCACAATTAAAAAAAAAAAAATAAAAGTGGTAAATTAAATATACTGTAAATGTATATAAATAAATAATTTCCTCAAATACAAATGAGTTTAAACTCGAAACTTGGAAGCTTTTGTTAGAAAATATACGAGGAAGTAGCATATTATCATCAAAAACACAGCGAATCAAGGATATAATCATATTTATATATATATAATATAATACATATTAAATTAGTAACGGGCATCACTTTAGCCACATCAAATAAATAAACTTATCATGGATAGTAAAAAAATAATAACAACTTACACAAAAAATACAAATAAATAACACGTCCAGGTTGATGTACATTAGAAAAAAAAAGAAAAAAATGCAAGAATGAAATTAGTAACTTTCACACTCACACACATTGGATATACACACTATATAAATTACATATATTGCTCATTTATAAATAAAACATAATGACAGCACCTTGCCGCGGAACTCATGTGCGCATGCACCTTAAAGTTGCGCACCTAAAGAAACAAACTGTTTAGACTAAACTATTTGAGCCAGAAACCACAATAACTCCCAAAAACATGACTATATTCATGATGGTAATCAAAAATACTTAAGTTTAGACAATGTAAAGAAAAAAAAAGCTTAAGCTTATAAAATCTCAAAAAATAACAACATATAAATGACGTAAGTCTGAAGATTTTATTCAATATTTATTTAGTTTTATCTACAAAATCACATATTTTCAGTTGCGTATCTCCTTCGTAGTTTCGAAAGGGCTCTAGGGACAGCACGATAATTCAAATAAAATTTGTATAAAAAATAGGGAAAGGTTAATTTCAGTGAGAGGTGTAATAAGCACGTATGGTTTATGGCCATTACATGAATAACACACCACAGCAGTTAAATAATTTAAAACCTCAATTTTGACAAAAATTTCAAGTTAAATAATTTAAAAACCTCAATTTTGACAAAAATTCTAAGTTGTTTTCAATAATTACATATATAAGAATAAAAATTTTATATACCTAAAACAAAAACAAGAAAATGAAATATATAACTGTATTTTTTAAGGCACTTTATATCCCTGTTGAGCGGTAAAGCCGCTTGGAATGTAACACAACTGGTAAATTAAAAAAATAAATAAAAGTTCAATTAGAAAGAACTGGGGGTAGGGTCCAAGGGATGAGGATGAGGGATGGTGAAGCTTGGGCATCAAGCTATAAGCTCTGAGCCGAAGCGCATTGGGAGGAGGGTATTCGAGATCCTATTGAAGACGGGGAGTCGCTCAGGGGATGCGGGTGAAGGAGGAGGAGAATGAGGAGGCGAGGAGAAGTAGCCAGGCGAAGAGGCGAGGGAGGAGGTGGGTGAGGAGGAAGGCCGGGGACTCAGCCCGCTCCTTGCTTCCTCTGCGTTGTGGATGAAGTGGCACCGCGGCCCGTAGGGGCAGAATCCCACTGAGTGGAACGTGCGACACAGCTCTGTCTTGTACTTGGGGTGTCGCACCAAGCAGCGCAGCTCGTGCCCTCCGTGGGCGAATTGGCACTTCTCCCCGTACTTGCATGTACCCGACTCTTCGTAAGGTCGGCACAGCTCCGTCTTGTACCTGCAACAATACAAACAGTTGGTCAGAAAAAAAAAATCATACGTTAATAATAATAAGATATATCAGGTTAAATGTTGGAAGTAATTGAACATTCACCCACATGTACGCACATACCTCAACTTCTGTTTTAGAAATTATAATACTTAATAAAACTACGATGCAGAGTCAAAATAAAAATTACATAAAACACGATTCGCAAAACATATCAAAAGCGTGAAGATGTATAAGCTAAGTAAAGAGCCTATCCATTATCGGTGTTTCGTAACGAGTATATTTGCAAAGAATACTCGATGGCAAATAACTGGTGTTTGTTCACCACTTAACAACCATCTACCAAAGCATAAATTTTTTAACACCTTATCGTGTGATGATGGCTGTTAATTTAAAACTTCTTACGTAAATATGAACGATTTAACAAAATGAAATATCGTCGTCGAGGAACCGATAAGTATTATTCATTATATCGTAGACGCAACAAAATAAATTCTAGAACTGATTATGAAAACAATCGCCTAACAGTGGGTTGGATTTGAGGTCAAGATGATCTAATAATTGCAATTGTCATACAGGTAGTAAAAGGTAGTCCAAGCACCGGATTCTCAAAGATGATGAGAATAAATCTATTTTAAAAACATGAGGGAGATACCGAAAATGTTTAAAGGGAGATTTTAAATTACCTAAATGGGTAGCGTGGAAGTTGAAAAAAAAAAATCATTATAAGTTGGGTAACTTAAAATAACTATCTAGAAATAACTATAGAAAATATTATAAAAACTGAATAAATTAATTTTAACGATTAGTTTGTTGTTGTTTTTTAAAGCTAACATAATGGTAAGATTATAAAAAAAAAAATACATAAGGTCGGTTAATACTTCATTCTCGGAAAAATATTGCTATAATATTTAGATATGAGGTGTTCAAAATGCAAAAGACTACTTCCCCGAACACCTCGAAATAAGATCGCGAACATTGGCCAAGGGCAAGGTCGGGGCGTGCTGCCAAATGTTGGCCAATCAACAACTGACAGAGCAGCGACCTCTGTTATGTAAACAGGGCGTGGTCCGCCGTACTCTTTTATCACCTGTCGACGCTTCGGTTCTCTACCAAATTCATCCAACTAGGAAGTAGCTGGGAAAGAACGATTCATGGCGATAGCCTTTTGACAATCGATATAAGTCAACGTCCGCGTAACAAGAGAATACGATATAATGGCATTAGCCGACATTCGGTCCATCTATCTACCTTGCGGCAAATCGTTTTGTCCTTGCGTCCGCCATGCAACGAGCTACGGACACACATAACTGAAAGGACCTTGGCAACTGAGGTTAAGTGCATGAAATTAGCTAATGGTAAAGGGAACCGAGTAATTGGCAAGAAAAAAAAAGCTATATTTGAAGACATGTTTCCTTCTATATTATATCTTACGAGTATGAAGGATCCCTGTGTCTGAGTTTTATAGAAAACATTCATACTATCCGGATGTGGTTATAATGAATACAAATAATTATATTACAAACCTATTGTATATTATTTAGCATACTGTAATATTATCCGGAGCGACAACACATGAAACACACCACACATCCTCCAGATACCGTGACGTGACACCGCCCGAGGACGATCCGCGCAGGCCAGGTGGGAATGACTTTGAGAATTTGTAAGGGCAAGGCCAGGGCGGAGAGCCAGCACACCCTGCCAATCTGATAAGGCCCGCAAAGCGAATGCCACTGACCTTGCCAATATACAATGTCACGGTTTTTAGCATAGTTTGTGTTTATCACATTTTTTATTAGCGTTTCCGGTACTTCATGCCTCTTATCCAAGGACTACGAAAACTTAACCGCCGTCGAGGCTTATTTACAACATACATGTTAGTTAAATTGAAAGAAGCATATTTAAATATAAACCTTTGTTTATATCAAGCATATGATATTTTAACAATCAAAAACAAATAGGTAACTTCTCATAGTTGGAACGACAACAGGGTCGAGCGTGTTAAAGCGTAAAATAATATTCTCGAGTCTAGCGATGCCGATTTGTACCCACCCGGCCTGAGCGAGTTAGAATTTATTCGTGGCGAACCCCTCGAAATGAATCTCGTCTTTCCCACTCCGACTAGAATAGGTTTAGTTGTACCTCTAGAACTAACCACTATATGGCATAAATGGCAAAGTAAGAGGAAATGGAAAAAAAAATAAATTGAGGTATAAAAACAGCAACTTGTGTGCCAACTGCTTTGCAAATAACTTCTAGCAATTAACAATTAGTTGAGACTGCAATAAAAGCCTTCAGAGCGAAATAAATGTTTGCAATGTATCTTGGTTTGATACGTCTGTATGATTTGAGTTCATCGGTTCATTCGTGGATAAGCTAGGAAATAAATGTTTTAACTACATAAGCCGGATTAGATCTTACTGCTTCAACACAGGCAACACGGCCTTCACTATATATGTGCTATAATTCTTTTCGAATAAAACAAAACTAAGCACTTTGGAACTAATAAACACAAGAGCGTCAATTGTAATCGAAAGCAAGCATTGAATTCAATGAACTTTTTAAAAGGTATTAGATTCGCAAGGTAATTAAAAGAATGTATTTAAGCTAAGAATACATATTTTACTATTTTTAATTAATTAATGAAATAACAGAAATTCTACATCTGATGATGACTTATAATAAACTATGCAAAGGGTTAATCAACAATTTAAAAATTAAAAACACTTTAATAAGTATTACGCAATTTAATATAATTTTTGTAATTTTACTTTTCAATAAGAAATGTAGTTAAAACCATTGATGGTGATTGATGTATAACAACATTTTGAAGCATAAAATCAGAGAATTATATAATTTTTTATTCCTTTAGCTTTAATAAGAACTCACTTGTCTTATTAAAATAATCTCCCCCTTAGAGATAGCGTTATCGAATATGTCATGTCCCTAACTGGCACTGATAAAGCGTTTCTTTAATTCTTATTAAAAAGAGAAAAAGAAAAAAAACTTGAGTAAACAACAGAATAACTTTTTTATCTTCTCTCGATAGCTAGTTGGAATATCGCTGTGAAGATAGAACGCTAACATCAATATATTATTAAGATTAATAATGACTTTAATAAATATTTTAAAGTATTTGTCGAATGACGAAATCAATGAAATATTAATCTTGAGAGAAAAAAAAAATCAGATATAAAATGAATAACTCACTTTTTTACCAGCACCATTAAAAAAAAAAAAAAAAAAAAAAAATCGTTCATATAATAAACCAGATAGGACACTTCCCGAACTGGAAACCATCCAAAAAAAAAAAACAGTCCACGAAATCTGTTTCATAATTTTCTCAGGATACCCCTCCACCCACCCCCTCCTCTCCCTCCGACTATCTCTTCGGAGCAGGACACGTCCAAAAAGTAGCCGTAAATATCGGGGCGCTAAAGGTCAGCCAGGACCAGTTCTGACTTAAAAGGAATCGACGGGTTTCTTCATCGAGCTCGGAGATCGGAGCCATAAAATGGATATCCAGCTGCAGTCAGCTCTTTCCAGCTGCCCCTTAACCCGTTCTACGGCGTGAGGAAAACACGACTCTTTTCGTCTGCTAAGTAATAAAAAGTAATACAAAGCAATAATTCGTGATTGCAACTGAATATCATGAGACTTTATCTTGACACTTAAAAGAAATAATTTTATTACATTTTGCAGAAAGACACGATATTGATTATGCTATCACAATATCAAGTGTTAGGATCCGAATTTTCAACAAAAATACACCTTTCAAGCTATATGCTTTTTGCAAAATGGTCTATCTGTTTGCATGAGTATTCAAGCTAATACTCTAACTCAAAAATGAAACGTCGTACGAAACCAAAATAACGTATTTTAGGTATAAGGAATGGACCATACAACAACATTTTTGTTTGATGTTGACTTACCAATTTAAATCACGAATTCTTAACTTTTTTAAACAATCTCGAAAATGGCTCTAACGATTTTAATTAAACTTGCTTTAATTATTTATAATCGGTTGGACATTATACTAATTGAAATACTAATTTGACAAGTCTTAAAGTCGAATTTTTAACAAGTTTTCTTCTGGATTGATACATTTATATTAAGAAAGTATTTTATAATTTGATGAAGAATTATTATTTTTTATTTATTCAATTATATAACAATCTGTCAAGTGGACTTTGGTTATAGGGATGTAAGATAGCATACACACAATATGTACAAAATATGTATATAAAATAAACAGGAGGAAAATAACTAAATAATAATCAAAAAGTATATACAATAAATAACATAAAATAACTTATTTACAACTAGACGAGAGAACTCTGAGGCAAGCTTGTCCCTCCAACTATGGAGGGAAAAGCAGGACTCCAAGAGATCCCTGTGCTACTCTCTCAACCGCTTCACTGGTACTAGAACCAGTGGAGATTGATCGAGAGTGCTTTAGCCACATACACAAATGAAGAATTAATAACCAAACAAAATTTTTAGGCAGACTACTTATTTCTCATAAATAAAGATTAGTACAATTAAACATATCAGTGTCAGAGGAGAAAAATTATTACTACATTCAACTTATTTAAGCATTACAATCTACTTTATCTAAAAAGCACGTGCGCAGACAATTGTAACACAAAGTAACTTACACACGCAAAACATTAATTTAGATAATTATTTTAATTTGGTGACAATTAAACAAGCTTGTAACAATAATTACTTTTTTTTAAATGATATCAAAAGAATTTTGTCAAAAATTTTCTCTTGAATGTAAAACTAGATATATAACTAAAAGTTAATACAATAAATATTTAACTAGAATGAATAATAATCTATTCCCAAAAAAAGTTTTATGATAAAATCTAAGATCAAGTCAATTTCCTTATTATTCATTTTGGAAAATTATTATAAATTACTAATATCGCGATAATTAGTATAAATCATAAGTACGTTAAGTAAATAAATCATTTGACTTATTAAATAATTGAAACAATATATATAAAATCTTTCAATGAATATTTATGATAGAAGATTTTCCCTGTGATATATTCCGAAGGCCATGGCAACCTTCTACATCTCGCCCACTCAAGTCCGTAATTTCGTGGGCGGCAAGAACCATCCCATCGTAAAAAAATAAAAACAAATAGAATTTCCGCACTACCTACCAATTTAGACTATAATCAACTTCATAATTCATTTACGATTATTTTTAGATCAATTGCAACATTGCATTTGTACTAGTGCCGATAAAATTGAAATTGTAATCAGAGAAACACGAAGGACTTTTTATCGAATTTTTAACATCAGGCTTAAACTTCGTAAATAGCTTCATCTCATCCTGACCTCCAAATATTTTATTTACGAAAATTCTCGAAATTGGGGCGTTTTCAAAATGGAGAAACAGACAAAATCTCATTTGCTTTCCACTTTAATCGTGAGATGACTTAAGCGCTATGTCGAGAAAAAGGTGGGCTTCAAAAATAGTGAGCTGTTTAGCGTGATCTACACCCAAATTTTCAAAAGAAGTTATATAGACCAAACGGCTCAGTTGATTTTTGAAGGCCACCTTTTTTTTAAACTTTGTGCCCAAGTTATCTTACAATTAAATTTGGAAAGTTTGCCGACTTCCAGATTGAAAACGCCGCAATTCTAACAATTTTCGTAAATAAAATATATGTAGGTTGCGATGAGATGAAGCTATTTACCTAGTTTTAGCCGTATGTTAACCATTTAATAAAAAAGGGTCTGTACCACTGACTATAAAGTTTAAGTGTTCAAAATGGAACCAGAGAGAGCGCGGTTTTTACACAATAAAACAAAAATATGATTGGTATACCGCAAAAAGCTCTCGTTATTACAAAGTTTCAACTCCACTTTCGAAAAAGATATTTCTAATCAACTACGGAGTATAAAGACATAAATTTAAAGTATGCGAGACAATTAACATTTATTAGGGCTTGTGAAAATATCAAATAATGAATATTTATAAGCTATTGAAAGCTTTGTAGCTATTATTTACAAACAAAGCGAAGGGAAACGATAATATTTTCAAAAATGCAATTTCATAACCGTTTACAATGGTGCATTGATTAGCCTGCGTTGCAATGACGTTTCTCAGCAAGGGCCCTGTCCTCGTTATGAGACGAATATAATAGCATACCAATGTGTGTCCAACCGCTGCTTTAAAATTAAGACCATAAAAAATATAGAAAATAAAAAATGCAAGTAATTTAAAACAGTTGTTTTATATCTTTTAAGATCTAGTCGTATATATTCATTAATAATGAATAACTTAATTCGGGGTAACAGGAAAACCATAAATGAAAAGAAATACGTTCATGGGCAATGGACCCATAAGATATGGTCGCCATGATACTGAGAACAACGCCTCTTTGGACATGGGGTGCATATTAAATGCAACTCCCTTACTGAACAGTCTTGGAGGAGGGGACCTTCCAAGATGGATGTCTTGGAAGGATTTATTTATATATATATATATATATATATATATATATATATATATATAATATATATATATATATATATATATATATATGTTATATTTTATTGAAATTTGTCAACGTAATATATATTACTTTATCCTAGGAATGCACAACAGTAGAGAAAAATATTTAACGAATGATGTTTTGTCATAAATTATTCTCTGTACTATGCAACGTTATGATAAATTATGTAGCACTCAGTAACATGAAGCAAGCCGGATCGGAGATAGGCGATCTCGAATCATTAGTTATAGTCTATAAGTAAATAGAGGCTAGAGCTGGAGCTGGTCTGGGTCCAGGGACATGTTGGGGAAAGCAGCTATGCGCGGCGTTACATAAGGTACTTGGTACTATTACGCACAGCTCTCACAGAAATTATACATTCCGTCATCACCTAGGATTAAAACAGAAGCTAAAAATACACCAAATACTGCCTAGAAGCATGAGCAATATTTTCAGGAATTCTACGAACGAAAAAAACAGCAGACGTTAACAACACAAAAACTAAACAAAACAAAAAAAAAAAAAATGTGGGTTTACAAAATCGTTGTCTATTCCAGGAGGAACCCCCCTCTGGCGAAAACTTTAGGCAAAGGCAACACGAGTCTTCGACCTTTCTGTTATACAGAGGGAGTTTACACCTTTGCGGTGTGTTGTGTAGGCTCTTGGTGAATCAACGCAACTTCCTTTCTATAAATAAGGCTGAAAACAAAATAAAGGAATTCCACTGGGCTTAGTACTAGCTGCTTACAAACAACCCACCTCAATGCCACAAAACGAGCTAAATTTAAACTGAAAAACCAGAGATAATGAGCAAAGAAGATGAAAATATTAATAAATACAATTTTAAAAAACTGAGTTTAAACAAATATACAAATTTATATGTATTTAAAATACAGTAATAACGGGAGAAATAATCATAACCTATACTTTTATTGGTTCATTACATAGAAAGAACAGCGAAGGAAAACCGATATTCCATAAAATAAAATAATGTGATAAAATTTCTTTAGGGATAAAGATATATAAAAAATAAAACATATTAAAAAAAAAGACAGAAGCTATAAATTTTGTTAACTAAAAAAACCATTCGACTTCTTTGGGTACGTATCGAAAATGTAAATTCGATAGGGAATCCATTAGCTTTGAGAGCGCAATTAGAATTAATAGAAATCGCTAGAGAGCAATGTCCAGGTGAAGTTTGAGCTGCCTTTGTAGTCTGGAGGAACCCCCATGGGAAGCAAAATATTTACTAAACGCTCCATAGAATATGCATGATAAAGATACATTTTTTCAGCACAGAATAAGAATAATATTTTGAATTGAATGGATGAGATTTGAGCTGGAGCAGAAAAGGTTTCGATTTCGAAACTGGCTACTATTGTTGCAAGACGAGAGATATTTCCTGACAATTCCAGGAGATAGCGGAATACTTTCTACAGAGACTTTCTATTGCAGCGAGTTCGCTGACCGCAGCTGGCTGTGTAAGCAGTTATGTCACCCGTACGTGCTTGTACCTCCTTGGACGGGAGGCACGTAGCTCGGTGGCGAACTCTGGTCCACTGGTCCACATCATAGCGCCCTTGACCGGTTGCTATTCGAGTTTACCGGAAACGGAGCCCTTCGAGATCGACCCCTTCTTAACAACAGGGATACATGCTCATAGCCCCCCCCCCCCTTCTTCTTTGAAGTTCCGCTCATACCCTCTTTTCTCAATATGCATTTGTTCGCAAAGGTTTTGAATTAACCATTCCTTCAAAGAATTCGAATGAATCTCTTAAATACTGTAGGGATTTATTACTAAGAAGGGCTTGGGTCGACAGTCCAATACACAAGTTGATAATCCACGTCCTTCTTGGGGTAAGACATCTAAAAATCTATTAGGCATATGGCAGCAGTAGATGCAGCATGACGCTACATCTGTCTAAACACTCAGCAATAACATGTCTTGTAACCAACTGTCCTCGGTCCGTTGTTACACTTACATTGTACACAATAACAGTTCTCCTGTGGAAGGCTAAAAAAAATTAATTTTTTTTATTTGTTTCTTCTAATTTCTTCGCTTTTAATATTTTGTTTTGACAAAACCTAAAATTGTGTCAATGTAATTATTTTAATATGAGATGGGGAAACTCGATCGGAAAAAAAAGGATGCATAATAGACTTCTTGAATCTATGACAGAGGTTGTTAAGAATATCTGGAGGTCTATCAGAATAAAAAGACATAAAAACCCTGAAATATTCCGTGGACGTTCGTGGAATCGGACCTGATCTTTCACGGTACCATGATTGTGCCCTAAGAAGACCGTGTCTAATTAATTTTAATTTATGGAAATTACAGCCTTCCTCTACATTAATTCAAATGGAGCCTTTTCAAAAATTGAGAAAGTGATTTTATTAATGTCGTAACTCTTAGATCCAATTGATTTTATTCATGCTATTAACTATAAACGGTTAAAACACTTCAATAATTTAAAATCCTAAGGAATTTTCTAACAAAGTGTCAATGAATGAAAATGTTAATACTAAGTTATCATAATCAACAAGAAATCGTTAACCGTTAGTGCTAAGTTGGTTTGCACGCTCACTTAAGGCCCATTAACAAGCGGATGAAGAAAAAAAATCATATAAAATAAAGGGAACCAATGGACTTCATTGAATGCCCGCATGAATTCAGCGGTTGGTGGTGATGGGTTAGCAGCTGTGTACCGCCCTCATACCCAACGACATATCCCCTTCATCGGGGTGGGGAGCCAGTCATTGGAAAACCATTGGGAAAAGAAAAGGGCTTATGAAACCGTCAATTCAAAAACGGTGATTGAAGTATAATGCACCATCGAAAGGAATCAAATCTGATTACAACAGCAGTTACTGTGAAGAGGGGGGAGGGGGGATAGTTCAATAAACTCCAGAAAAATAACTGCAATTTTTTTCTAATTTAATAGATAAACAAATATTATTAACCTTAAAAACAAAAGTGTGGGAAATATCTAGATGTAAGGTGTAAAATGTATATGTAAAACAAAAAAGTGGTGCATTATAGTGATTTTCACAGAATGCAGTTGACAAAGCTTCTCCATTCATAACTTAAACAGAGGAGTGAGTTTATTAAATGTTTTAATAAGAGCCATAATCTCCCAGACTGTAAAAAATACATATCAAGGCAAGGGTATATTATTTTTAAACATAATTAGTTCAAAAAGCAGTAAATGTTGAAAGAAAAAAGGTGGTAAAGTTGTCCCGATTGATTATTGTTTCAAATATTAATTTTAGAAATATATACAAAAGAGCATTATCTGATATCCGTATAATTAAAAAATAAATAAAACGTAGAGAAGTATAGGCGAAAAATAGGAGAACAAGTTCAGAAGACAACAAACACATTCTGTTACTGGTATATATTATGGGTTAAAAAAAACGAATAATAAAAATGTAGTAAAATATTTATCGTAGAAAAAGTTTATGCTATATATATCAAATACGAATTAAAAAATATTTACATATTTCATAAAACAAATCTAAAAATAATCAATGACACAACAAAATCATAAGGATTCTCCAACCACTACTATATTCAAAGAATATAGTATGGGGTTTCTGTGCCCCTGGAATGACTAAAAGGAATTTCGAAAGGAAGCAGTACGATAGCACATCTCATACCATAACTAGCGATATCGCTCATTTCCTGAGTTGCTCACGCTGAGGACCTCGAACAAATATATCACCAGTTAAGGACCAACGGGAGGGCTTAACGAATAGGAATACTGTGGTATCAGTGTGCGGCTGGGTCGCATACACCAGTCGGCATCGAAAGGAATATCGAAGTTTATCTTCTTATCTAAGCAATATTTCCTATTGTGAAGAAATGTCAAATGAGTCAAAGTAATATTAAAAACTTCAGAATAAAATGATTCATTAAAAGCGGACTAAAAAAATAATATACGGAAGGGAACAGTATATTATTTAAACTGAACGGTCCATAATTCTTTAATAATAACTAGAACATAAGAATTGTTACAACAACGCACAATGTAATGGGGCGTACTATGTTATTTTCTGCTGGTGCACATACGAACTAATTAACACAATAATACCATCAGTAAGAGAGAAATAGCAGAGCACCTTCACTTCCTAGATCGTCAAAATGAGAGCAAGAATTACATAAACCAGGCTTCGGGTAAAAGTGCACCTCCGACATAATTAGCAGACGGGTTATGATGTCACGGAGTTCCCACGACTTTCTGAAACCTACGTGCGACTATATGTGACCGGAATATATGCATCTATTAGTAACTTGGGGGTAATAAACCTAATCTGCTTATAATCACTCTAGTAATGTTTTAGATCAGAGGTTGAAACTTTAATTGAACGTTTTTCTGGAACAATTTAAGGAAAAAAGTTCTTAAAATAAAAGTAATAAAGAACTTGTTTGCATTTAAGGTCTAGATCTAAGTGTTTAAATTTAATTTAATTAATTACTTTAAAAAGATATACGTTAAAAATAAGGAATATACAATAATTGGTCTTATATTTAGATTATAATCTGTCTTAAATGAATTACTTTATTCTAATGTGTCGGTTTTTAGAACACAGCATTTTTTAAATTGACTTAATAACACACAAAAAAAATTCCAGTTATGCATAGAAAATAAATAAAAATAAAAGTTAAAATTTCATTCTAAGCCTTGTTTAAGAATTATAATACCCATTGTTTTTTTTCTCGAAAATATTATTTATATATAATTTGTATTATAATATCGATAGGATGACTTGCAGTAATATCTCACTAGTAGCCATTCAATTCCCATGTTAAACTCGAAGATCTTAAGACTGCTTCCTTTTCAGAACCTCAGGTGATTATCGGTAAAGGATTACAAATAAAAATTGCGAACAAGCCACTAGCTAGTTCGATTTTAGAATGTAATAATCGTTTGGAAAACTGGAATGAACAATCTGTTTATTTGTTTTTATTTTTTTTAAATGAAGATTCACATTGTTCTTTATTTAATAGGCTGAACTTTTTGGATGGCCTTAGTAAACAATTGGATGAAAAAATAAAATTAGATGTAAATTGTAGATGTAAAACTATGATATTCTTAATTGACCAATTATTACTACTTAAACATACTTTTTTTTATATTTTAATATAATGTACCCAAGCAGATAACCCACTTCCCGATGTATCAGTTTAAAAGAGATCACGCAATTATTCGTAGAACACTGGAAAATTGCTACCTACATAAATTATTAAAAAAGATATTTGGCCTAATATACTTTAAATTTATGTAACCATGACAACGTGGGCTGAAACTTTAATAAATAAAAAAAGAATTCCTTTTTAGTGATTTAAAAAATAGAGAATGACAAACAATAAGGGAAAATCCAAGTCATTCTCAGAACAGTGCTGTGGATTTAGAATCATAGCGACCTCGAATTCAACGACGGCTTAGAGGAAACAAACATGGCACATTTGTGTAGAACCAAATTACTCGCTATTTTGAAGCTATGGCTATAACATCCTGCCATGTTACGTAAAAAGAAAAAAAATCCTCCGCCGACAAACAACCATGTCCTTCAGTTTTCAAGATAGCTATCAGCTGACTCACTTCCAGGCAATTATCAACGAATTATTCTTTCTTCTTCTCCCCTCCCCCCCCCCTCTCAGTTTTTAATGGATATTCATTCCCTTTGTTTCGACCTTCGAAGAAACAATCAGATGTACCATTAGAAGTTTTACATTCGAAGAACAGGAACTGTCGACAATCGGTATCTTCTCCTTAATGGCGACATTTTTTAACAAAAAACTGTCGTATGTTTCAAGGTGAAGTTCAAACGCGGCAATGAGGACTGCTAAATTTGACACTTCTCTTTAAATGGCTTGTTTGTCTTTTATCTTAATTCTTTTGCTTTTTAAAGGAATTGCTTTTAAAAGAAATAAACCGCAATGTGTGCAATCTCGGAAACTAAACCACTTTCGTTAATGCGATTCTGAAATTGGGTAAACATTGCGCCATAACAAAGAAATTTATGATAAAATTGTAAATTAAACAGGATTTGAATGAGAGTCTAGAACACAATCTCTGCAAATTATTTCACAAAGGTGTTAGTTTATCGGAACTACTTTTACGTCAATCCAGATCTAATATAACATTTTTTTTAATGATTTTAAATACATATATTAAATACATAAATAATTTAAGAATTAAAATATATATACATATATACAAGTACTTATTTTTTATATAGTGAGTTTAAACGGAGGATATGGTTCACAAGATTTAGGCCATATTTTTTTTTTTTTATATGTATCACCCACCCAAAGAATATCAATTGTTCCCAATTACTTCCAAATGTTTGTAAAAAACATAATCGCTAAAAAAACTATTATCATTATTATAGTTGATAATTACCTTGAGGTATTTACTGCGATAGGAGGGCTAGGTTTAACTGTGACAGTTTCCGACTGCGTCCTCTCCAGCTTTCTGTGGGACTGGCCGATGTTCTCCAAGAGGAAGGTGGTCATGAGGGACAAGGGTAACGGTCTGCTAGCATCAGAGTCCAAGCTTTCCCAACTTGGCTTACTGTCAGCAGGTTGCTGTTGCTGAAACAAAAAAATAAAATAAAACAAACTGTTTATAATAAAAGATACATAACAGACACAAATATATAAATTAAGTCACAAATGTGAATGAAAGGAAAGTCTAGTGAACTTCAAGGAGTGAATACTGGTCGATTCGCACTGTCATTTCAACCCGAAAATGTCCCACATGTTATATGAAAAATTTATATATATATCTAATTGAACCATTTGGAGCGATTGACATCGATGAATCATAATCCCTACATTTTAATTTTTATTGATACTGAGTATTGTCAGGGCCTAGTGATTAAATTTCTAAAAAGATCTTAAAGTTTACGGAAGTATTGACTCTTTAATAAATAATAGCAAACTCGTGGCGTTTAAAAAAAAACAAACTTCTCAGCCATATATATAATATTCATCGAGCTTGATACAATTTGAAAATAAATATTAATAACGATAACTCTCAGTATTCAATTGATAACAGGATGATAGTCATTAAAAACGTAACATTCGATAATAAACAAATAGTAGAGAGAAAACGCGTAGGAGCAGTATTGAAATATTCATGGGAGGTATCATCGGCACGCGAACGTAGCAGGTCAAACTATTTAAACTTTAAAAAAGCTCCCGATATCGATCGTCAGAAAATAATACTTTTGAAGTTCTAATACAATTTTTATAACAGCTATACGATTAAGTTGTAATGAATACTTGTGAACTAAAATAAATAAGAATAGAAAAAAAATTCGAGTTTATTCACGAATTAAGACCATTGAAACTGCAAATGATTTACCAAATTTTTATTATTTAGAAATAATACTGAAAATATTCTGTTTTCCCACTACAGAAGGTAGAAAAGCAGTATATTAGAACGAAAGGTTAAACGAGTTTCGTTCCGTATTCTATTTGCGAAACAAAAAAATATATATTTGAGATCGAGAAATATAAATTAGATAAGTTATTTAAAAAAGAAAAATGTGATTTACTTAAGAACAAATAACATAAAAGAGAAAAATCAGAGAAATTATGTAATTTATAACGGATTGATTCTAATAACCAAGTATACATTTTAACCTAGTAAGTCTATACTGATACAATTTGTTACGGGTTTGGAGGATGGTGGTAAACAAAATAAATAAAAATAGTGTTAACTATTTAATGAAACCTAGTTCTCGAGTCACAATGCAGATTTTCATGAGCTTACAGCTCTACTGTTAGGGAACTGATGAATACCTGCTAACTGGGTCGAAACAAAGGTTTTAATTAATTTAATTTACATTATTTGAAGTTTTTATTTTTTACCGCCGACCCGGACTATCTCTTCCTTTATTAATTACTCGGTCAACTATTTAATAAACAATGACAATTTTACACATAACACTAATGTCAAAATATTTTTTTCCAAAAGATAAATACAGCGATACAACAAAATATAAACATTCACTAATCTCAATACATACATGCAAATTAGTTTTCGATGTCACCAAGACACTATGAAGTACAAGAACACATGCAAGAAGAGGTTAGAACTAAGGTTTGTCTGGAAGAGACGAGAAAAAAAAATTTATACAATACAACCTACCAACCGATTTGGTCCAATACAGGCTTGGAAATGACAAGGAGATTCAAGGTCCATGCTTCGTTATAACAACACTTATACTTTCAAAACGACTAAATATACAGGAAGAAGAAAAAGAGTAACAACAGAAGATTGGAAAATATAGAGAAACAAACAATAAAAATCTACAAAACCTACGACTGAACTCATTTACAAACAAAATTCTTTTTTTTATAATTTTTCTTCAATGAACTTCCTTACCTCAACGACTGACTTCCACAAGGCGTAGACAGACTGAAGACTTACAGGATTCATTAATTGTCGGTCTACTTGAATCTAGAAATTCACATTTACAATTAGCTCACTAACAGTTTCAGAAGACAAAATTTGTTTAAAACAAAAAATATAACAAAATTTTTAAAAATCACTTAATACATACAACCATTCCTCAAGAAAAATAAGCCGGTCAGAGCAATGATGTCATAAGTAACGATCGAAAAATTATCACTCACTTACTTCTGAAAATTTCGTTCCTCTACAACTATTAACAACGATCATTTTTTAATTTTTTTTTAAATACTTTTACACAAAATGGGAGGTTATAATTAAAGTGACACAATCGGGAAAATAACTGTATCGAATAAGAACATATGTAGGATTGATGTTTATTTGGTGTTATTGAGAAACCATTGATAATTTAAAAGCTATAAATAACTATGAGAAAATTTGTGACAACGATTAAAATGACGAAATAAAAATTAAAACTAGCGATTAATAGTAAAAAAATAATAGCCATGCTTGTTAAAAACATACTTCCTTCAAAACTTTCATCAAATCAAAATCATATCAATGTAACTCTGATAATATGTTAAAAAGAAAATAAATATTAGGCAAAGATAAAAGCACATAAGATCGTAAGAACTATTTGTATGTATTATTAGTTTTTCATTAAAAAAATATATATATTTATATACATAAACACCTTCATGCCTTTTGTTCATTAGCTTTTCTCTAAAACCAAAGCTGCGCTTATTTCGAAAAAGCAGATTCTCATTTCAAGGGTTACTAGCCATAAAACGGCCATCTGAATCATTCAATTAATCATAAGCAACAAGTAAAGCATCAGAGAATAAAGAAAAGCTATAAAATAAAAGGACAACAAATAAATAAATACATTACAAAGAAACCAGCCATTTTGCAAATATTATTTGTAATAATTGGTTATAGACAGCTCATGAAATTGAACCAACTTTGCTTTTGGGGTAAGGGATGTAAATGACAACAAGATCTGAACGCGACAATCGAAATCAGAAAAATGTCAGAGGCCTGTTGCGTTTTCACTTTCTACGTTGTGTGTCGGCAGCAGATTTCGTAAACTGTACATAAGCTGCCATTTATGTAATAAACTTTGGAGGTCGCGGTGCAACGCAACACAAAGGCACTATCAAACATGGCTGGTGGTTATCCTGCCTAGCCACTGGAGGGGGCCATTGTCTACGGCTCAGTTTGGAGTACACAGGGGAAAACAGATGATGGAAACTCACTCTTTAGAAAATTCATGTAAAATTCTATTATTCTTTAATGTTAAACTACAAATAATCGTGGAGGAGTAGTTTATTGTAGATAATATGGTTGAAGTTGCAGTGACAATGAAAATAAAAAAAAAAAATTGTTTTTTTATGACTACGTTTCAGGTCTCATCAGGGCTGCTCGTTGAAGGAAGCAATGACTTGTTAGATAACCTCCAAACGAGAAGCCCTGATTAAGGTTTGTTACGAAACGTTGGCATAAAAAAAAAAAAAAATTGTGTCGCTGCAACCCCATAAAAACTTTCTAACTAAACTAAGAAAAAATGGATATTTTAAATTAATATAATTTTCATCTATATTTTTAATAATACTGAATGAACTCACATAATTACATTGTTGAAGCTTTGAACTATTTTAAACACATGATAAAGAGAGACAAAATGAGATTTCAGTTTTATCATTTTATCTTCTTGAATATATAATGTAGATCAGAAAGCGAGAAAAATTGAACAAATTGTGGATTAACTTACAATCAATGGACATTTTATGAAATCACAAAAATTGTACAGATTGGTATATAGAAGATCCCATTTCAACTCATCTATTTTCGCACACGCATGCGCAAAAAATTTTACTTCAACATACCTCTATTTAAAAACGGCCAGAGTGTCAGCACAGAACATCGAGGGAAATTCGGGCCAAGTAAAAATAGGCCAGTATTAATTTTATCAGAATTAATCAACTAGTTAATTTCGGTTATCTAAGCTAAATATATTTTCTCTATTATTATTCGCCTTAATGGTCCTATGGGCACCAGTGCCTCCTTAATAATTTTCCACTTTGTCCAATCCCGAGTATGACTTCTCAATTTTCCTTAATTCAAGAATGGCTTGTCTCGTGGAGTTTATTTTAAAACGATTATCTATTAAATATAGTCAAATTTCATTTCCCTATTTCAACTTAATTACAGTAATTAATCTATTTATATAAACGATTATATATTCACACATATAATTACGGCTATAAATATAAAGAGGTAGTTGGTTGGACATGAGTGATGGATTGAGGGGCAGACTGACCAGGACAAGGATAATCGGTTACCTTGCTTGCGTAACACTTTCTCTACGGGCTCTATCAACTGCCCTTCCAGGTATCCTCTTTAATAGGTGTAATAAACAATAATTATTATTACGACCCTTTTTAGAAATCATGGCGCTCAGAAAAGGTAATTAGGAACAAACAGCAATAAAAACACTTCCTTGGAATAAAAAATAACATCACGAATTAGGATGACGAATTAATAAAACCAGGACAAACACGACTTTCATTCAATAAAAAATTAATAGCATGTCGACTTTGCTTCGATGAGCGAACATTTAGACTATTAGATACTTCATATGGAAAAATAACTGTATGAACGTATATAAAATGAAGTGTAGACATGAAGTATAATGTAATATTTGAAGAAAAAAATTCATTTGATAGTAAGGATTTTTTTTTTAAGGAATTACAATTAATAAGATTGAAAGTTTACCTGAAACGTTGAAAACATTAATCTTTAAGTTCAAGTGTAGTTTGGTTAATAGGCCTTCAGGTAGAACTAATAAGTGGATAATAAAGCTACTAAAAGGCCCACAATATACTAAAAAAAAGTTTATTAAAAAAAAGAAAGATACGATTTGATATAATTTTATACAACACAAAGATTTGAATATTGGCTCTTATCTTATAAGATTTTATATGTGATTTATTTCTGACAATAAAACATATTTTACTTCATCGTGTATAGCAAATATGTGATAAGGGTTTGTCACGGTTGATATCGTTTTCTATGGTGTGTCACCCAGCCCCCATCAAGATCTGCTAAACAAGCCGAAAACCAAATCTTTTATCAATAAATGTTTTTTATTATTTGAGGTTTTTTTTTTCTATCTCCATGCCGACCATATTTTTCTTTATATTCTATTTTACTTTAAGTAAATTCTAAAATATATCTATTTTGATTTTTATACTATTCTCCCCAGCAATGAAACGCTGTAATTTATTTATTAACTAATAGAAGATTGTCAATTAACTTTTGCTTTAGTGTTTATTTATTAGTAATTTCTCTTATACTCGTTTATGAAAATGCGAGGTAGGAGTGGTATCCGAACATCCAAGAAAGTTTTCATGGAAACGATTAATATAACAGATATCTATTAAATTATAAGTATATGAAGCAATGAGAAAAATTATTTATTTTTTATATTTTACTTCGCTATTTCTGGCATTTGGGGGGGAGGGGGGAGAGGAATGTTGGGAAGTTTGGTTCCTGGAAGATTTACTGTTAATCCATTATAAATATATATCCAGCGAAGAATCCCTGAGCAATTAAACCGTCCACCATTAGGCAAGAACTGTTTGGTAAGAGGAAAGGACACTATTGGAAAGGCTCTAGTACTGACCTAGAATGGAGGAGTCAACGCCCGACAGCCGCAGGAGCTCTTATCATCTCTGATAGTGAGCTATCGAACCAGGGTACACAATCGATAGTATAACGGTCTGGGTTAACCTGTGCCTCATAAAATGATAAAAAAGAAACCTTAATTTTTAAATGTACTAAATTTATTTTTGATTCGAATTGTATATCTAAATGATATGCTACTAAGCTTTAAAGCTGGCAACGTAGGATTATTAATAGAATATTAGCAGGATTAGATCTGAAAGGATATGCACTCAATCCTAAGAGGATAAAACAGAAATTAAGGCGTAGATTATAAAGTTTATTTCTATTGATAAACCCAACTTTAATTATATGGTTTAAAAAAATTGTTTCGTATGACATCTAAATTAATATGTAAAAGTTGTTAACACTTAGATTTATACAATACTTTAATTTAATGGAGAACGATTTTACTATGAATTAAATTTACTATACTGGGGAATATTTTATACTTTTTTATTCAATAATAAGACAGAGGAACAATTTTATAAGAAACAGGAATCGTTAATAACAAATAAATAAACATACGGAACTAATAAATAAAAAAGAAGAAAATGAAAGAAGATAATTTTGTAAATTATTGACGAATAATTCTGAAAATTGAGAATTATTTTGTAATTTATGGACGACCTAAAATATATGATTTTGACAATGGGCTTGACAAGACTTGAAAATGGGCGAATATGGCAGTTCGAAATATTGTCATGTGTTGAAATAAATTAAAATGCAATAAAGTAATTTGAACATATAGGAAATAAAATATTAGTCAGCATCGTAAATTTAGATTGACAATTAATATACCCTATTGAAATACAATATTATGAATTTTAAGAATTTTTTTTTCCTTTTTTTTTGTGGACTTAAGGACATATCCTAAAAAAGTTTGAACAACGACAAGAACGGTCATAACATTACTAATGATTTATTACTTTATGGCCAAGCACCATATTGCAATAAAGTGCTTCTTTCGTTAATATTACACATTCCGGACAGCTGAAGTAGTAACAGCAGTTGTTGGTACGCACCTCCGCGGGGTATCCCCGCAGTCCCGGAGGACTAAAAATACAGAAACGACTTTATGTGCCAGGACCAACGGGACAACGCTGGAAATAGTCGAGACCAGAGGTCGGGTTCAGGAAGGGAAAAAAATAATAAAAAAAACAAAACAAGAAAATTCCTCCTGTGCTTCAGAAAATAAAACAATAAATACTGGAGAATCTGAAAACTACTAAACCTATTAGTGAATAGAATTAGGAGGGAGTTTTACTTTATATTGGAAAGATAAGTCCCTTTAAAAAAAAAGATCATCAAAAATATTAATTTCT